CGGAAACCCTACCTGGGACGCGGCAGCTTCGGTGAGTGAGCGAGTGCGGGGAACCTGACGGGACAGCCGCCCTGGTCGGTTAGCGGGAGCTCGGATCCCAGATGCAGAGTTCCAGGAGGGTCTCGAATAGTGAGGGAGGCCCAGTCACTGTCCACCACCATGAGCATCACCATCCACTGCTCTCACCATTGCAGCCACCATCGCCGCCACCAGCATCCTGCCTTGCTCACCCCTGAACTGGGAGTCTCTGTCCCAGCCAGGCGCTGGCATTGCTTACGACGAATAATATCAGCCACAAGAATGCTACCCAATGTTCAGGCTTCGGCCCCGCATAATTCTCATACCAACCAACACTTTCCCCTTTAATGACGCCTATTTCCAGAGTCTGACCCGATTACCCCGCATTAAATAGCACTTCTAACACAACACGCCCACACCCACTCCCATTTCATATCCTCGCTCTGCTTTGCTTTCCTTTGAACAAGTAAAGCCCCCAGAAATGTTTCCCAGCCAGCCAGCATGGGTTCCCTGAGGACTGTGACTTTATTTTGTTCACTTGCAACTGTGTCGGTGGGAGAAAATATCCTCCTATGGAACCCCCAGGAGGCAGCTATTATTATTATCCCTACTTGATGGGGTTGGGAGACTAAATGACTTGGCCATGATCATATCCTCCAAATAATTGAACCCTCCAATTCCTTGAGCCCTAGACCGCATGGAGGTGGCATGATCAGGTGTGTTGGGGTTGGGGGCTTCCCCGTGTGTGCTGAGACAAGAGCAGAGAGGCAGCCCTGGTTACCAGACCATCTGGCTCAGGGAGCAGCAACAGAGAAGGAAGTAGTTGTTTTGCTGATCCCATCAGTGCCCAGCATCTGAGATGTTGCAGTCCACTGTGGCTTCTCCCTGGCCTCTCACTTCTGGACTACCTGGGACCGGACCACCTCCAGTGCTGGCCACCTGGCTTGCTTGCAAGGGATGTGGTGGGTCTGAGCAGAGAGCACAGATGCCCAGCTTCCCCGCCCTGGGCTGGTGCCTTCGCTTTCCTCAGCTGCTGTTTGCTGCTCCCCACGATACAGCCCTGTGCAGCAGCAAGCCTGTCTTCTTGACTTTAGAGACCACCTGCCTTAGAGCAAGATCCCCCACAAAGGAGCAAGAGGAAAGCCCTGGCTCTTTTCAGATATGACCTCTTAGGAAGATGCAGCCCCAACCAGGCTTCCAGTAAGATCTCCGAAAGACAGATCTGTTCTAAAGAGATCAGTGGGTGTTCGTATTCAAACCCCAGAAGCAGGATTATTTCTGAGGTTGAAGGGGGGGGCCTGCTGCCCTTCTCTCCTGTCCTGAGCTACCCCTCTTCTACTCTGGCCTGAAGCTACAGGTGCTGAGCTCTTAGGTTTGGGAAAGAGGTGGAGGAAAGGAGACTCTTTCTAAGCAGGTTAAGGACTGTGTGATGAGTGGGGTAGGGTGGTGGCAGATACCATACCTGGCTTGTCTCCCTCCCCCATCCCAGCCGGTACATGAAAATGGCCCTGAGGAAGCCAGCTCTGGATCTGGAGAAAGAAGGCTATTTGCAGCCCTACACACAGCTGTCTCCACCATTTCAGCTTGTGTGTGTGATAATCAGTGTGGCTCCTCTGTGAGTACAGCTTCGTGCCTGAGGGGCTGTGTCATCACTGCTCTTTATCTCCCCAGCCTCCCACCTCTCCTCTCCCTCCTTTTCTTCCACTTACAGGCCTGCCTTTTCTACCTCTGTCTAGCTTACTCCATTTCCCCTTGTTTTCATGTTTGCTTCCTCGCTTTTCATCCTCTGGGGGTGGGGTGGGGGGCTACAGAGAGAGCATGCTTCCATGTGATTATGAAATGAAAAAGTGGGTTTCCTGGAAGCTGCCATATCTATCGCTGGAAACAACAAAAGATAGTGTTCGTGCTGATGGCACATCCAACTTTTTTTTTTAACTTCAAAAATGTGAAGTGTGTAATAGGGACAGGATATGAAAAATATTCATAATCCAAAAGTGGAGGTTGCGGTATCCAGAAAACAAGCAGGAAGGGGGGTGTGTAGGAGAGAGGAGCCTGGGAGGTGGAGCTTTTGTTTTCTGACTCCTCCTCTGTTGAGGGGGAGCCTCTGGCATTGTTAAACTGGGCCCTGAGCTGGAGCCTGGGGTTAGAGGTCACAGGCCGAGTAGGTGGGGCTCTTCCTGGGTCACTTCTAAAGAGTTTGCTGAGGACTCCTGAAGGTTGAGTGAGGACAGACCTAGGATGTAGTGGCATCACTCGAGGGCACAAGCAGGCCACACTAGGTGACCTGAATGGAGAGAGAGACACCAACATGACTGTCTATGACATTTCTGTGCAGTGTTTCAGAGAAATTTACTAGCTTTTAAAAGAAAAAGGATACTGTAGTTAGTTATAACAACAGAAAAGCTTTTCATGAGATCCACTTAAGTGTATCAATAATATGCCTATTGTTATTGTATCCCAGTTAAGGTGGAACTGACTCATAACTGACCCTTTAGCAGATTTCCATTGTAAATGACAAGGGAAGAGATTGCCCATATTTTCCCACTGGGAAGCAGCTAGCGTGTTCAATCCGTTTGCCTTTGGAGTGCCGGTACAACTCCTTATCACTAAGCCGCCTGAGCTCCCTAAGTATGTCTGTTTGTTGTTGTTACGTGCTGTAGAGTTCCTGTGACTCATAGCGACCCTATGTACAACAGCCCTAAACCGTGCTCTATCCTGTGTCAATCTCACTATCTCTGACACACCCACTCCCATTACCCCAGTCACTGAATCAATCCATTTCATCGACAGTCTTCCTCTCCTGCGCTGTCCCTTATAAAAAACTGTGTGTTGATTTTTAAATCTTCTAATGTGCTAAGGTCAGAGCTGTCGTTGTTACTCAGCCACAGTGATGGTTTGAATCATGTGTACATGCTATTGTAATTTAAAAGTGTAATTTCAGTTTTACTCTGTAACTGCTGTTGCCATGACATTCAATGATAAATGGGACTTTTAATTTATGAGTAAATTAGTATAAAAAACATTAATAAGGGTTTTATTGGACTGCTAGGAGAACAAACAGGTTTGTCCTGGAGAGGGTGAAGCTGGAATGCTCCTTGGAGTCAAGGATTCTGAAGCTTCGTCTGACATATTTTGGACATGTTGTAAGGAGGGACTGGTCCTTAGAGAGGGACATCATGTTTGGGAGAGTGGAAGGACGGCGCAGGAGAGGAAGACCCTCGATGAGATGGATCAATTCTGTGATTGGGGTGGTGGGAGTAAGTGAGTTGGAGATGGTGAGGTTGGCACAGGATAGAGCACAGGGTTTAGGCTCTTGTACATAGGGTTGCTATGAGTCGCAAGTGACTCGAAGGCACATAACAACAACAAGGTTTTTATATGAGAAGAGGCCCAAGGGGGGGGCTGACATTGTGAGTTGACTCCCTGGGTGACACCAACCCAAGTGACATCACTGCCAGGATGCATCTGCAGAGGGAGCAGACTCTTTAGAGAATAAGGCAGAAGACTTAGCCCTTTTTTCCTGGTTATCATCTCCCACTGATTCATTTATTCCTCCTTTGTTGGTGCTGCTGTGGCCCTGAGCATCACGTGGGGAGGCAGTGAGCTCGCAGCCCTTAAGAATGGCTAGTGAGAGAGGTTTGTTTCTCTCCTTCACTGTAACGGGTTTGTGAGGTGCAGGCTGAGTGGCTCCAGACAACATAAAGCCTGGTTTTGGGGCACCTCTCAGCCTCCCTCTCCTGGGCTATTGACCCCTTTCTCTATATGCTAATTCAAGTCAGCATACTGTCTGGTTTTCAAGACCCAAAAAGGGTTGAGGGCTTCAGAAAGGTGTTAGGAATAGGACTGACCTAAACGGATTACTAGCGTGTGAAGCCGATCCCTGGCTCTGACCATCTAGCTCCATAAATCCACTCCTTGCCCTGGAACCTGCTGTGGCTCCCTATTGCCTACAGGGCAGAGCCTCCCTTCCTAGTCTGGCATTTAAGGCTCCAGCCTGCTATCTTCCTGAGGGTCCAGCTGCCTTCACTTCTCTGTGCTTTTGCACCCACCATTCTCACTGCTGGAATGTCCTTTTTGCTGTCACAAACATGTCCTCCGCTGTGTCTCCCAGGTTGCACCCCTTTCCTCTGGCACTTTGTATAAACTGGCTACAGGTCTGTACCCCCACATCCAGGGAGCTGTGGTGGTGCAGTCAGTAGGGATTTGACTCCCCCAGCAGGTCCCCATAAAGAAAGATGGGCATTCTGCAATTTACAGGCTTGGAAACCCACTGGGGTCTAACTTGAAGGCAATAAGTAAACACACACACACGTGTGCGCACGTACACACACACACACACACAGAGTTCTAGTCACTGAGGGCCGGACCCAGGTCGTTAGCTCTGTGGCCTGCACAGTTGACACTCAGAGCTGCTGCGTGATCATGTAGAGGGTTGAGGGTGTTTCCCTGCAGCCACCACCACTGAACTCACTCACTTCCGTGGAGTCAGAGCCAGCTCATAGCTCACCCTCCAGTGGGTTTCCAAGGCTGTAAATTGCACAGGAGGAACAGCTGTTGATGGACCCGAACCACCAGAGAAGTGGGGAGCACAAGTGCCTATGGACCACACCCCAGTGCTTCCTTTCAGACGTCCTCAGTTCACCTGTTTGGTGCTGCTTCCTAGCTCTACATCAGCTCACCAGCCTGGAGTTTCATCTCCCCTTACTCGCTTCATAACCATCTAATCTTTTCCACTTTATCATTTAGTGTCCTGTCTGCCTCCCCCGTGGCTCCATGAGGGCACGTGAGTGTCCTGTCCTTTCATTCAGGGCTGTGGTCCGAGCACCCAGCTCAGTGCCTGGGAGACAGGAGATGGCAGGAAGGACTTGTCAAATGAAAGCACGGGTCCCGCTTCTCTGGAGGGGAGCATCGGGGCTTTTCTGCCTGGAACTAACCTTCTTCTGCCTCTGCAGTCTTCTCCCGCGGGCTTCATCCTGGGTGCCATGCAGAAGGCTGGGGCAGGGGGTCGGAGGGCCTCCGATTGTGGCCCTATCCTTCACAGACCCAGATGCATCACCAAGTTTGCTCAGGTGGGTGGGACCCTGTGCACATGTGCCCTGCGGGGGGTGTTCATTGGGTGGTAGTCCTTTGAGGGTTAGGGGAGCTACTGGCCTAGGACCCGAGAGAGATTTTGGGAGGTGTGTGCACGTGTGTGTTTGCACATGTTTGTGCATGTGTGTGAGCACGCACATACACATACAGATGAGAAGATGGGCCCCAGAGGGTACAGTGACGTGGCCAACCTCACCTTCTGGGAGGGTGGGTAGCAGAGCCTGGGCTTTGTGCATGGTGCACCATCTCCATCCACAGCTCACTTAACAAAGCAGAGTGTATGCCTCGGGGGAAATTGGAGGGAAGGGGTCAGGAGCCATGGGCCTGACTCTTTGCCTCCAACCACCCCCAACCCTGAGCAGTATGTAGGCTCCTTCCCTGTGGATGACCTGGACACCCAGGAAAGTGTGTGGCTGGTGCAGCAGCAGCTATGGGCACTGAAGGTAGGTGGGAGGGATGCTGGGGCACCCTTTCCTCATGAGGATCACAGGCTTGGAAAAGTCCAGCTGGGAATGGCCCTTGAGACCATCTGGTCCCCCTCTCCCCACACTCCCCAACATGGAGAGGGGCAGATGAAGCCATGAGGTGTATTCTGAAGAAGGAACTCGCTTTCTTTGGACGTTGTGAGACGTGAACCTCACAGATGGAAGTCACTGAAGGGACATGGGGGAGACGGTCAGAACATGGCCCCTTGTAGCTTTCACTGGGCATGGGCGTGGTCCCCACACAACCATCCACTCTTCCCAAGCTCCTGGCATGTCCACCGGCTGGTTCTCAGCCTCTTGGCTGGAGGGGCAGAATTGGCTCAATGAATGATCCTGAAACTGGTCAAGTGGAAGCGGGCCCAGGAGGTAATGCCTGAACCCTGCTAATTCTCTTTCTACCCAGGACTGTCCCCGGCGCCGAGCTGTCATCCTGAAATTCAGTCTTCAGGGCCTAAAGATGTACAGCGGGGAGGGTGAGGTAGGAGCCCGTGTGGGTACAGGTGAGGACTGGCCAGGGACAGGTGTCTCTGTCTCCCTCTGGGACAAGTTCACCTCTACTTAGGTCCTGCCTCAGCTCAGCCCCTGCTTCTTCCCCTTCAGTTTCCCCAGCTTGCCAGAATGAGGAGGGCGGGTGTCTCTGTACTCCCTCTCTTTGAGGAACTGTTCCCCAGGACGGGCTTGGGTAATGGTCTCTTCCACTCTCCTCCACTCTCCCCACCCTACCCAGTCCTCCAAGTCTCCAGTGTCACCTCCTAACCTGGGCATCAGGAACAGCCAGCACCCTGTGACTGAAGCCTTCCCCCATTTCTGTGGGTGCCCTGGGCTCCTCCCTGGTCTGCTCACTGGTGCCCTGTGGCTGGCCTCTCCTGGCAGTGATAGGAGAGCCAGACTCAAGTCATAGACCATGCGTAGATGCCTCTCAGATGCCCATCCTTCCGCTGGTCCCCCTTGTCCTTTCCCCACCTGGTGCCCACACATTCACATGGGGTGACCAACAGCGGGGAGCCAGGGATCCAAGCCCTGCAGTCATGTGAAGGATGGGGTTTTAAATCTGGGTATATGAGGCCTCGAGCAAGGGGGAAGGATTTTTTCCTAAGCTGGGCAATGGAGCGCAGGCCCTGGGGGGGCTGCCAGCAGGTGAGAGGCCAGGAGGCAGGCTGATGGTGGTCGCCATGCCTCCCCAGGTGCTCCTGATGGCTCATGCCCTGCGACGCATACTCCACTCCACCTGGTGCCCCGCCGACTGCCAGTTTGCCTTCATTGCCCGAAACCCACGGAGCCCAGCCAGCAAGCTCTTCTGCCACCTCTTTGTGGGTAGCCAGCCTGGAGAGGTGGGTATCCTGACTGCCTCAGCGGTTGACCTGAATGCAGGTTCCAGCTCAGCCAGGCTGCCCCAAGGCGACTCTGGACACGATCCATCCTCGCACTGGCTCCTTCTGCTGCTCTGCCCAGAGAACTCCCCAGAAGGCACCCAGTGACCTTAGTTAGCATTCCCTAAGGGGCCCAAGGTGGGGGCCTGGATTTACATTTGGCAATTGAAGGGTCACATCTCCAGGCCTTTGTTGTTCTCTCTGTTTGGACCACTGTCCCCCTCTCTCCCTACATACGCCAGCCCACCTTTCTGAAGCCCGCCCTGAGTTCTCAGGGTCCTGTGACATCACCTGCACTTTGGCCTCATCCCCGCCCTAATCACAGTCTTGAGTTCTCTGAGAGCAAACACTCCTGGGTTTGAACTGTCCAGTGCCTGTGTGTGTGCAGTGGAGTGGAGGTGAGTGGGTGCGCTGCTGGATCTGGCAATCAAGGCCAGTTGAGTGTCATCATGAATGACAGCCTCCCATCGTGAGGGGCAGCCAGTTACATTACAAACAGAAGTTGAGTTTAGTTGGATTGTGAGCAATTACTCTTGTACATCAGAGCCTTTTCTGGCTACTGGGGTGACAGGTAACTGAGAGAAAGTCCTGGATCTTCTGAGACTTCTGGTTCCATGGTGTAGGAGCCAGACAGTGTCAGGAGAAGCAGTAGAAAACATTGTTCCTGGCCAAGTGCTGGTCTGTGCTGGGGCTTCCCATGCTCCATTTCACTGCCTCACAGAGAGCTAGGAATGAGGAAACTGAGGCACAGAGAAGTGCCATGCTCTTCCCAGGATCACATAGCAGCTCCTAAGTGACACAGCCAGCGTTGGAGCCCAGGCACTGTGACTCCAGGGCCCAACTTTTAGCTGCTTCTCTCAATCTGGGGATGAGGGAGAGAGAAGTGCTGAGGGTGCTTCTTCCACAGCTGTATGTCTGGTTCCAAGTGAGGCATCTGGCACCAAGTGGCTGGGTGATCAGTATTTGATAGTAAAAGAAACATACATGACGATGAGGTTTTGACAAATAAGAGTTTTCCCAGAAAGAAAGAGGTAACACATCTCCAGCCGCGTGGCTAGCTGTATAATCCTGGTGAGTGGGATGATACTGAAGGAATTACCCAGAAGGCCTCTCCCACCTGAGCGCTCTCCCTTCCCTCACCCCCCTCTAGGTCCAGATCCTGCACCTCCTCCTGTGCCGCTCCTTCCAACTGGCTTACCTCCTGCAGCACCCCGAGGAGCGGGCACAGCCAGAGCCTGGTCCAGGGCCTGGAGGGGATGTGCCTCTGAAGCCACTGGCCAGTCCAGGGGCCCCCCCTGTCTTCGTGCGGGAACCCTTTGGCCGTGATCAGGTTTCACAGAACGTCCATGCACTGGTTTCCTTCCGGCGGCTGCCAGCGGAAGGAACAGCAGGCAGTGGGGTAGGCAGCACCCCACCCAGGGAATGGGTGAATGGTAGGCAAAGGAACTGGCCCAGGGGCTTGGGAGTCCCTGAGAAGCTACATGGAGGAGTAGGTCATCAGTGGGAGGAGGTGAGTCTGAATCTGCCCACTGTCCCTGGCCTCCTCTTGGTGCCTTAGAAGGAACTGCTGGAGTTGGAAGGCCGGGGGGGCATGCGTCACGCCCGCCTAGGGAATCCATACTGCTCACCCACACTGGTCCGCAAGAAGGCCATTCGCAGCAAAGTGATCCGCTCGGGGGCCTACCGTGGCTGCACCTATGAGACTCAGCTGCAGCTGTCGGCTCGGGAGGCCTGTGAGTAGATGGAGGCACGCCTGCCTAATGGGTACCTGGGGTACCTGCCTGTTTGCATCTGTGCCTGTGAAGGAGGGCAGCATATGGGTGTGCTTCTGTTAGGTTGTAACTGTCCCTGATGTAGGTGCTTGTATCTGAGTGCATGAGTTATGCAGCTGGTCTGTGTCCATGGGCTTGGATGGGTGCCTGTATAACTGTATATGTGAGTGGGCTTGCACCACTGGGGGTATCTTTTTGGGGATTGGATGTAGGCCTAATGATCAGGGAGGAGGAGGCTTAATGGAGGGACAAATTTGGAGGTGATGGGGTCTGTGGGTGTAAGGGGCATAAGTACTGACCTCCTTGGCGGGGGGGTCTCCACAGTCCCGGCAGCATGGGAGGCATGGCCTCGGGATCCCAGCAGCCCCTCGTGCCTGGTGGAGAGTGAAGGCAGCTTGACGGAGAACATCTGGGCTTTTGCTGGCATCTCCCGGTAGGTGGAACCCTGGCCTGGCCAAATGCCAGCCGTTTGGGTAGGCAGAGGTGGGGGCTGTTTTCTCCCCCAGGTTCTGATATGCACAGTCCTCCCAGTCTTACTGACTGCAGGCTAGTCCTTTCACCACGTGGGCCTCACTCAGTAGCCACAGGCGTAAAATGTAAAGGGCTTTCAATGCAGGGTGGTGGGAAGGATTCAGTGAAGCAATCCAGATGAAACCCTCACCAACTGAATCTCTTGACTGACTGAGTTGAAAACAACAGTGGCCAGCTCAAACATGGCTGCTGACATCACTGCTTTGAGTGCTGTTCTGAGCAGTCGTGACAGTAGTCCTGAAAGTGTTCACTCTATCTCCGTTTTCCATTCCACGGTTCTAACCCATAATTTCCCCATTTCTTTGAGTCTGTTCCAGTTTGGTTTCTGAATTCCTAAAATGGTTTGAACCAGTTTGAAAGCCTTCTCTGAATTCCCAGGAAGCATAACTTTTCCTGGCCTCCATGCACACCAGGGAGAAATCCTCACTTAAAAAAAACAAACAAAACCCAAAACAACAACAACAACAAAACCCCCCTCTTTTAAGATTTCCCTACTCATAGTTGACATTCCAGCAGGTTTTGAAAGCCTATAAATCGCACCAGAAGAGACTGCTCATCTTTCACTGAGAAGTTGGTGGATTTGAACTCTGTGCCTTCGGGGTGGCAGTGCAACCTCTTCCCGCCAGGCCACCAGCACTATAAAATTCTAAGATCCCTTAGAAACCTCTTAAGGAACTCTGATGGCCTTGGGGGTAAGGAATTATGCTATCAACCCAAAGGCAGGTGGTTCAAATCCTCTAGCTGCTCAGAGGGTGAAGATGGGCAGCCTTCTCTGACATTGACGGTCTCTGCAAATCTGCTGCAGGGTCAGCTATGAGTTGGTTCCCAATCCATGGCATGAGGTTTCTTGGAGACCTGTTTGGTTTTGAAAGCTTCCTTTTGTTGAAGGCCTACTCAGGGTCCAGTTTACATGTGACACAGGCTTGTGTTTCATCCACAGTGGGTGCTGTGGGCTGTTATGTCTGTTGCCCAGACGAAAGGGCCCTATCTCAGCCTCTGCCCTTTGTACCCCCAGACCCTGTAGCCTCGCTCTGCTAAGAAGGGATGTGCTTGGGGCCTTCCTGCTATGGCCTGAGCCAGGTGCTACCGGCCAGTGGTGTTTGTCAGTGCGCACGCAGTGTGGTGTAGTACCTCACCAGGTCTTCCGGAATCACTTGGGCCGATACTGCGTGGAGGTAAGGGTGCCAATCACTGCCCTGTCACTGGCTCCACCCCAACCCTTTATGCCCCATCCTCGTCTGACTGCTCGAGTGGCCTAGAGGGTAGAGAATTGTGCTTCCAGTACAAAGACTGACAGTTTGAATCCATCAGGAGTTCCTTAAGAGAAAGATAAGCAATATCCTCCCATGAAATTTACAGCTAGAGGGTTGGCTGTGAGTTGGTTCCGACTGACTCAATGAGTTGTCTAACTGCACAAGTCCAGAGCCAGTGGCATCTCAGAGATGAACACATTGTCTGTCTTTGCCCCTTATTTATCTTTCCACTTTCTGCGCAGCTCCTTTGTTATTGCGGCCTGCTGGCTCTGGCTCTGCCTCTGCTGGCCCCCACAGACCCACCTCTGCCCGTTCTGCCCAGGCCTGGAGGACGATGCCAGCTCTTTGGGGGTTTTCAGAGTGCATTCTAGGATTAGGGCAAGGGGCCACCTTTTTACTTCTGTAAGGCTCCTGGCTTTCTCTCACCTTAACTCATCAGCTTTCAGGAGAGGAGGGAATTGACTGAGAAGCCAAGCTCTTGCCTAAGCTCACACCCCCATGACATGGTCTAGAGTTGTGGACCCTGCGTTTTCAGGGACTGAGATGGGCAGGTGGGACTTTGTGCCCTTGCTTCTAGGCTGTAGCCTGGGAAAGAGAACAAGGGACTGGTGTCTCTGACTTCTGTGCACAAGACATGTCCCCTCCGAGCTCTGGTTCTCTCCCTGTTAAAATGGGTCAGGATCTTGTAATGGGGTGGGAGTACCCTTTGGGATCCTCGGGGAGGGGAAGCTGAAGCTGAGCCCCTCTTTCTCCAGCATCTCCCCGCTGAGTTCCCCAGCCTGGAGGCCCTGGTGGAGCATCACGCCGGCACAGAGCGCAGTCTCTTCTGCTCCCTGGACATGGGCCACCTGAACCCTGGCTATGAGGAGCAGGACTGTGGGCCGGAAGGCAGGCCACCGCGAACTCTCCGGCCCCTGAGCCATGCCAAGTCTGAGGCAGAGCTGCAGGGCCTGGGCTAGGCCCTCCCATGCATGGAGGTCTCGCTTCCCAGTTCCTGGGCCTCAGCAGGTCGCTCTACCCTTTGTCCACCTCGTTGGTCACCAGTCACATCCAGTCACTCCGCCCCTTCGAACAGTCTTTAATTACTTTAATCAGTGCCTGTAGGAGGGAAATCCGCAAGATTCGGAGATGGACGGTTTCTCATGGGATACGTGACCAGTGACACCCCAAGCTCCCGTTAACCTGCTGGATGACTTTGGATGTTGTCATCGCTGGGCTCCCACCTTGCTCCTAGGACAGGAGCTCTCTGAGGTGGGTGGGGAGGTTTGTCACGATGGATGTGGAGCCTGGGGAGAGAGCTCCTGCCTGAGGAAACCAGACAAAGGAGAGAGAGGTGCTGGAGGAAGCAGGAGTGAGTCCTCACTTTGGGCAAAGATCTGGGGTGAGTCAGCCCCTCGCTGAGAGTGAGCAGAGATGACTCAGTGGAATGTGTGGGCACGGAGACAGGGGCTGACAGCCTGCTTCCCACATGCACCCAAGGCTCAAGGAGCCTTACCTTGAGTTCTAAGGAATGAGGGGATAGGAAGGTGCAGAAAAAGATGGGATAGACAAAGTGCTGTCCCAACCCTCACCTGGCACAGGTTACACAGACGGACCAGCAGACAGAGCAAGGGAGCTCTGCAGAGGAGCTCTGTGTACCACTTGGAAAGCACTGCTGTTTTAGGCCACACCAAAACCCACAGGATGTGAATCCAGCTTTCTCAGAAGGGGTGCCCCAGTTCTCATCCTCCCCACACTGCCAGGAATCACCAAGACCTTCCCACCCCCTAGGGTTCACTTTGTTGAGTCATATAGGAGGGCCAGCAGTGAGCCACAGGCTTAGGGTTCAGACCCCTCCCCATGTAGGTAACATTCAAGGGTTTGGTGGCAGCTCCAGGAAACCATCCAATGCTGAGGCCTTCTTGAAGGTGGTGCTGACTGTGGCATCATAAGCCATCTGAACAGGCCAGCCCTATTTCTTTCCTTTCCTTGAAAATGGAGTCCAGAGGGGAGCTCTGGTGGTCTAATGGCAAGGAGCTGCAACTACAATCACAGAGGCGCACAGTTCGAATCCACCAGATGCTCTGCTGGGGAAGGAAGGACAATCTCCTCCTGTACCAGTCAGATCTGATTTGACGGTACACTCACACAAAGATAATAAAATAGAAAAAAATTAAAAAAATAAATAAAATGGAGTCCAAGCAGAACCAACCAAAAGTAGAATTAATGGGGGCCTTGCCAGAGGGGGCTTGGCCTCAGGGTTTAGGAAAATGATGAATTTAAGGCAGTAAGTCCTGCTGGCAATCAGGTATAAGTTCAACAACAAGGAATCTACCAAACTGTTACATTTAGAGGCCAGGTCATTTTGGATGAACGTCTAGTCCTGAAGGCCTAATCTTGAGTCAGGGAGCTTCTCTGTCCCAAATTTGGGAAAGGACTGCTCAGAGCCTTACAAGGAACATGTTTCATCTTCCTGGAAGGAAGAGGGCAGCCCTAACAAAATAGAGAGCAAGGAAGTAAACTTGGTGAATTTTGGAGAAAGCAGATGTTGCCTTGCCTACAACTTCCACTCAGTGTGACCTGAGCATGTTATTACTCACTTGCCAGACTAGTGAGACATCTTGTCCTAAAAGATGAGAGGAAATTTTCTTTGAGGGCTCTTTCCACTAGGAACAGCACTAATCTATACTGAAAATGCATGAGGACCCAGGTTGAAAACTCAGCCATTTCTGCTGGCTTCATCTCCCTGGACAAATCCCTGGTTATGAATGGAAGTCCTGGCCTCACGTTCCCAGGTGAGGAGAGATCTGGTGTTTCAGTGCCCTGGATTGCAGCCTGATGATGGGCATCTAGAAAGTACTGACTGGTAACTGGTTGAAGCTGGAACCAAAGCTTACCTCAATGAGTAGTGGGTTTGTTGCATCAATTATCCCTGCAGACAAGCACGCTGTTTATGCATGCCCTTGAGTCTAACTCATAGCAATGAGCCTGCGAGATAGAATAGAACCACTCCATAGAGGTTCAATGTTGTAATCTTTAGGGGAACACATCATCAGATTTTGTCTCTGGTAGATGGTGAATTTGAACTGGCAACTTCTTGGTTCGCAACTGAATGCTTAGTGTTGGGGGGAAATTTAGCACACTGAAGAGACCAGCCTTTCCCAAGCACTTTAACATTCCTTTAGATAACTTTTATTGCTCCCATTACAGTGAAAGGCCTTTTGGCCACGTGTGCAGAAGTCCTCAATGTTTTAATCATCGTTTCCTCTCTGTTCAAACCAGTACCACCAGAGTAATTTTGTTCTCCTGGCTCTATAAACTCGAAACAAATAAAAATACTTTTTTTTTTCTTTTTTCAGATTCTCTAGTACAGACTTTTCCTTTGGACTACAAGGTCTTTGTCTAGTTTCCCTGTTTTTGTTTGTAAAAAATACCAGCTAGTGTTCAGGTACCAATGGTAGACCAGACAGATATCCTGGCCTGTTGTCCCTGAAAGGGGTCAGTTTGTTGTTGTTAGGTGTTGTCGAGTATGACCTATGAACAACAGATTTGAACCCTGTCCTATCCTGTTTCTGACACACTTGAGCCCATTGCAGCAGTCACTGTGTCAGTCAGCCTGGTTGAGGGTCTTCCTTTCACAGACCACAGCTCAAAGGCATCATTCTTCTGTCATCTTTATTCATTGTTCAGCTCTCAGATGCATAGCAAGTGATTGAAAAATCATGATCTGCTTAAAACCTTCCGTGGGTATTGACTGTAGGGAAAAGGCTCACAGCCTTATACTCTGGCAGCTCTAGTTTTCCTTCTACTCCTGAAACATGCCACAGGACCTTTGCATAATCTGATCAAGTCTCATTTCACTCCCTTAACTCTGTTGTTGGAGAAGAGTACTGAATATCCCATGGACTGCCAAAAGAACAAACGGGTATGTCTTTTTCTGGAGAAGGTGCAGCCAGAGTGCTCTTTGGAGGAAAGGATGGAGAAGTTTCATCTCACAAATGTTGGTCTTATTTCTAGGAGAGACTATGCCTTGGAGAGAGACATTATGCTTGGAAATGTGGAAGGATGGCAAAGGAGAGGAAGACCCTCAACCAGGTGGATTGACACAGTGACTGCAGTAATGGGCTTACCTGAGTGTGGCAGGGATTGTGAGGATGACACCAGATAGGACAGTGTTCAGATCTGTTGTTCATAGGATCACTCTGGGTTGTACTTGACTCGAGGGTACCTAACAACACCTGATTAACTCTGCCTTCACACTTTGGCACCTTGGCTATCAGGGGTCATCTCTATATATCTCTCTCTGAGGCAGATTCAGAATAGAACCATCTGAAAAGAAATTGATGGGGGCTTATCAGAGATGTATTTGGCCTTGGTAGGTAGTGGAGATCTAGGAGAAATGACCCATAGGAAACATCTCCTGATCTCTGGTTGGAAGACATTCCCTTGTTAAATAGTCCTTAGAACGGGCTCTTTAGTTTGTCATTACTCTTTCATTTGTGGATTTTGTTTCTCAGGTAGTCTCCCTACTACACTGTGGGCTCCAGGCAGGCAGGGATTGATGTCTCTGGAACTGTGTCCACATGTAGCTAGCTGACTCTCTGTTGATATGTACAAGCAACCAGCAATGAACTAACTGAAAATTAACATTTCATAAAACCTTAGGCCAAGGGACTCTCTTTCCAAGTGATGGATGTAATAGTAGAAGACCAGCATCTCAATTAGTGGATTGAAAGCTGACTTTTCAAAACACCCTGCACTGAAGTAACACTGCCATTCATTTCTATAACATTGTGTGGAGGAGGTTTTTCTCTCAGTCTAGCTGAGAACTTAGAGGTGCTTCCTTATCAGACTGGAGCCCTTTGTTGATGTTTGCCTGTCCACCCTTCAGCCTATAGCTGAAATTTACCCTCTTAAGCCCTGCAGAAGTGGCCTCCACTTCCTAAACAACACGCCTCTGGAAACTCTATGAACTTTGATAAATGTTGATCGTTATAGAAAGGCTTCAGGCCTTTTGTTCATAGGGTCGCTATGAGTTGTGCTTGACTCAAAGGCAGTCAACAACAACAAGAAGCCTTGCAAGCTACAGTGGAGAGTTACTCTCTCATGATATAGAGATGGCACCTATCTCTGGCACAATCAGCAGGCTGAACATCTGGACGAGAGGAGGGACTGGGAGAGTTTTCACACACTTCACTGTCCTGTGCTTCCCCTGTATAAAAGCCCCCTCAGCCTTCAAGGAGACACATTTGGGAAGCTCTTATCATATATCCTGATAAGAATAAAACTTTTGCTTTTCCACTTTAACCCGTCTCCAAGATTGTTTGGGGTTTTTTCTGGCGACAAGTGGCAGAAACATAGCTTTGCGGTAACACAGAGAGGAGCTTGGGGGAACCTCAATGGCCACCCTCCTGACTGGGGCACCTGTGCAGAATCAGGAAGGGGAAGAATGGGAGCCTCTCTGGCTGAAGACTATGACTCCCAAAGGGATTTTCCCCCCCTCTCCTTTGCATCCAAGAGAGAGATATGACACATCCCTGGCGAACACCTTTCCCAATTTTGAACCATGCAGTGTTTCCTTGCTCTGTTCTGAAAATTGCCTCCTGGTATAGGTTTCACATAAGCACAGTCAAATGTCCTGGGATTCCCATTCTCAAGGTTAGCCACAGTTTGTTGTGATCCACACAATCAAAGGCCTTTGGATAGTCAATGAAGCACAGATAGACATTCCTCTGGTACTCTCTGCCTTCAGCCAAGATCCATCTAACATCAGCTGTAATGTCCCTAGTATCAAGGCCTCTTCTAAACTCAGCCTGCACATCTGGTATTTCTCTGTTGATGTGCTGTTCCAGTCGTCTTTGGATAATTTTCAGCAGAATCTTGCGTCGAAGAAAACACAAACACGAAAGCATTAGGATGCTGTGGATTCTGGGAAGTCTTCCCCTAAGCTAATACAGGGGCAGCAGAATCCTTGAAGGCTGGTTCACGTTTAACCCCAGTGTCAGGTCTCTGCTCTTGGCTCCCTGGTGAGCTCCCAATCTTGACTAGACAATCTCCAGGCAAATTGCTTCACTTCTCCGGGCTGGGGCCGTGAGGATTAGAGAAGATAAGGGAGAAGCAGTTCTCTGGGGAAGCTGGTGTCAGTCGTTCCCGGAATGCAGCCCACGCGCGCGCCTCGCCAGGGACGCTCGACGTTCGACCCCCCGAAAATTCCTTTTGCGCGACGCTCCCTGCGGCCCGGCGCTTAGAACGCAAAGACGTTACGGGGCCGACGCCTGTGACGCCACGGGCGTTGCCTGGCAACCGCGAACGCCGCGGCGGCGTGCGGGCAGGCGGCCGGCCGGTTCGGGGGCTCGGGCCCTCCGACGGCGCCTGCAGCGCGGATCCCCCTCGTCCCTGTCCCGGCCGGGCCTCAGGGACGGGCGAGCCCGGGCACAGGAGGAGGCGGCGGCCCCGGCCCTGTGACCCCCCACGGCCCTCGCGCCCCTCCGCCTCCCCGCCGGGGCGCCCTCTGAGGAGCCCCGCTGCCCCGCGGGGCCCCACCCTCATTTCCGGGCCCCGCCCCCGCGGCTGGCACGGCCCCCACCCCTTGGCTGCGGCTGGCCGGGATCCCCAGACCTGGGGGCGCTTGCACTGGGTGTCGCATCCCCGTAAGGCCGTGCCCCGGGGCCCCTGGCCACGGCGCCATGGCCTCTGAGTCGGTGAAGGTGGTGGTGCGCTGCCGCCCCATGAACCAGCGGGAGCGGGATCTGAACTGTCAGTCAGTGGTGACGGTGGACAGCGCGCGGGGCCAGTGCTTCATCCAGAACCCAGGCGCCGCCGATGAGCCCCCCAAGCAGTTCACCTTCGATGGCGCCTATTACATGGATCACTTCACCGAGCAGATCTACAACGAGATCGCCTACCCGCTAGTAGAGGTGAGGGCGCCTGGACACGGTCCGTTATTTTCCAGGACTGATGGAAAGGGAGTGGGACCAACCTGAGGGGCCTCTAGAGACAGCGTGGCTCCCAGGCCAGACAGAAGGACACCAATCAGTTCTTCTGAATCTTGTCTAAGCAGGAGGCAGATGGAATCCACTGACCATTTTCCTATCTTGGTCTCCACTGTTCCACTGCCAAAGCTGGCCTTTACACACCCCTTTCCTTTCCCTTCCCACAAGACTCCAGCCCCCAGGTCCATGTGCCCTCAACCCACATAGTGGAACTTCAGGGCTTCTTTAAAAGCCCCAGCCACTTTCCCAGTCACCTCCTATCCTCTCAAGAGCCCCACATCACCTCCTCCTGCCAGACAGCACCCTTCCTGAGAGGTGACAGGTGCAAACTTACCTAAGAGGTCTCTGAAAGAGCTCTCAGATACTGTAGAGAAAAGGTGGTGCACTCACCTCTGGGAGGGGCTGCAAGCCTTCACCTTTGCTTGAATTTATCTTCTTTCTCCTCTGGGAGAAAACTCACACTCTACAGAACTTGTGTTTTCATGTCTTACACTAGGTGACCTCTTTGAGCTTCATGATAAGGGATGTGTTCACATTTCACACATGAGGCCCAGAGAGAAGAAACCCCTCCAAGCTCCCAAAGTGAATTTTTTTGCAGAGGTAGCACTGAATCTTTCCACCTCCCAGCCAGGAGCTCTTGACTTCCTGCCAGTTCAGTGAGATGTTGTTAGGCCACAGTCCTTTCTAAAGTTTGAACCCTTTTTGTTTTGTGCTTCCAGGCCAGCTAATAGTGCAGAGAACCCCTCATTTGGCTGCTGAGACTGGGACTTGCCAAGAGGGTTGATGTGTTCTGAAGCATAGGTCTCCCCACTGGCCAGGATCTCAGCAGAGATGAAGCCAAAGGGACAGGAGGTAGCTGTCCCTAGTGGTTGAGAATCCTGTATCGTGTGACAGAAGCTGAGGGATCGTCTGATCCAGCCTTTCCCTATTGGGTTGAATCACAACCAAGTAGAGGACCAGCCTGTGTGTACACATCTTCTATGATGGAAACATATTTCCCAGAGCAACAACCCAGTCCGCCTTTGTTTTTTGGCATCTGGAAGACTTGAAGAGTGTGTTCTTCCTTGGCCTGGGCCTTTCCTCCTGCTCAGCTTTAACCTTGCTCCGGGAGTGGTGTGGTATCTTGGGAGGGGTGTCCCTCCCCCCTTGCCCCGATTCTGGATATGGTCCAATGAGAAGGACTCCCTTCTCAGGACCCTCAGGGCACCACAGCTCGCAGGGAGAATCATATCCCATCTGTCTTCCGCTTGCCCTTCCATCCCGAGTTCTGACTCTACTTGCAGTTCTTTGATAGACATCTGCCTCTGGACATCCTGCAGATCCTCAAACTTAACATGACATCCACTCTTTTGTATTCATTCAGCTAAGCGGTAACATCTCCATAGCATGTGTCATTATAGGCATGGGGAAAGGTCTTCAGAAGGGGACAGGAATGAACTCTGTTTTCAGCAAGTTCATGGTCAGACAGAAGAGCAGTAGTTAACATTCACATGATTAGTATGAGGAGCCTGGAGAACTTTAACAAGGTAGAGGAGGTTAGCAGACCTGGACTTGAAGAGGATGGGAAGCAAGGGTAGAAAGAGGCGCTGTCCAGGCTGAGACCTAAAGGATGAGAGGAGTTGGCCAGACAAGAAGGCAGAAGAGAGAGACTTCCAGATAAAAGAGAGCATCATATAGCAATTGTGTGGACATGTGTAGCACAGGAGTGAACATTATTCCTGATGAGGAAATGGAGACCTAGGTCTAGAGAGTCATGGAGCAATTCTGATTCCTATCTGCTGATTTCCAGTGGCACTTAATCCCTATGTACCATCCTGTTGCCTCCTATTAAATGCTGTTGTTGTGTACTGTCGAATTGGAACTGACTCATAGCTGACCCTCCAGCAGGTTTTCAGAGACTGTAAATCACATGAAAGAAAATTCCCCATCATTTTCATGCAGAGCAGCTGGTGGATTTGAACCACATGCCTTTGGGATAGCAGTACAGAGCCTTACCACTAGGACACCAGCACTCCCTCCTAATAAATGAGCAGCATGCAGATAGTTAAGCACATCACAGCTTAGGCCACCTTTGAGCCAGGATCATCTGTCTTGGTAGGGCTGAGTGGTAGCATCTCTGCCCTGTGGGCGCTGATCTTGCTCCCAGGGCCTGTGACTTAGGACTCTAGAACAGCCCTCAGATCCCACTCTGAAGCAGTCAGCACTTTTGGTAATTCAGCAAGCTGTCCGAATTTTCTGCTTTTACTGTTTTTCTTCTCCACCCCTTGAATCTAGCCTGTCTCTGATCTCTTGTCACACTGAGTAATCCCTTAAGTTCTCCTGGGTGCTGTTTGCCCCAGGTCCACCCTTTAGCTGACTCTGCATGCCCTACCTTGAGCCCCTCAATTGCCTAGCCAGCTGCCTGATCTGTGGGCTCTTCTCTCAGTCAGTCTACTTTCCTCCCTTCTCCAAACCTGGTTCACACTTAAAGTTGCTTCTGATTCGCACCAACCTTCTAAGTGCCTGCAGGGGATAGATACTGTTGATATAATTTGGTGAGAATTATTGATGAGGATAACATCTTCAAAAGAAAATCAATTTCCTGTTAATTTTAGAAAACCTGTTTAGTAAATAGCAGTAGAGGTGGGCCTGGCAGCACTGCTCTGTACAGCTTTCTTCAGCGATGGACATGTTCTCTGCTCTGTCCAGCTAGGTGTCCACAGCCACAAGTGGCAGTTGAGCACTTGGAATTTGATAAATTTGACTGAGGGACTGGATTTTTATTTTATTTAGCTTGATTTACATGGCCACATATGGTCAGTGGCTACCATGTTGGGCAGCATAGTGCTAGAGTAATATTTCCCAATAGACATAATGTAAGTTACATGTTCTTAGGTGAATCAAGTCAGTTCTAACTCACAGGGACTTTACACACAACAGAATGGTCCTAAACCTGTCACTGCTGTCATTGCTGTGTATGAGCCTTTCGTTGCAGCCACTGGGTCACTCCGTGTCATTGAGGATCTGCCTTTTTTCCTTCTACCAAATGTGATGTCCTTCTCCAGGAATCACGTGTCCACAGTGCGAGAAAAAGTCCATCCCCATTCTTGCTTCTAAGGAGCATTCTAGCTGTACATTTTCCAAAACAGGTATGTTATCCTCGCAAATTGTGGTGGTGGTTGTTATGTGCCATCGAGTCACCTGCAACTCATAACGACCCTATGTACAACAGTCCTAAACCCTGTGCCAATTTTATTGTCGCTGACACACTTACTCCCATTACCCCAGTCAATCAATCAATCCATCTTATCAAGGGTCTTCCTTTCTTGTGCTGTCCCTCTACCCTCCCAAGCATGATGTCCCTCTCCAAGGACTGGTCCCTCTTTGCAACATGTCCAAAGTAGTCAGACAAAGCTTCAGAATCCTTGCCTCCAAAGGAGCAGCCTGGTTTCACCCTCTCTGTTCTCTTAGCAATACACAATACACTTCTCCAGCACCACAGCTCAAAGGCATCACCCCTTCTATCATCCCTAGGCATTGTCCGGCTTTCTGGTGGGTAGTGTGCAAAGATGATGGCCTGTATCAGGCGCACCTTAGTCCCCAGACTGACATCGTTGCTCTTCAGTACTCTGGAGATGTCCTTGATAGTAGCAGACTTTCCCAGTGCAATTTGTCTTTTAATTTCCTGGCTGCTGGTACCAAGAGTGTTGATTGTGGACCCAAGCAAGCTAAAGTTATGGTTATATTTTTAAATTCTTCACTAACACTGTTACTCAAAGGCATCCCATTCTTTTTTGGTCTTCCTTATTCATTGCCCAGTTTTTGTATGCATATAAAGTGCTTGAGAATAACATCATTTGTACCAGGCATACCTTTCTCCTCAAAATGATGTCTTCGGCACTTTTAAGAGGTCCTTTGTACATCAGATTTGCCCAACATAATATGTCTCTTGAGTTCCTGACTGCTTCTCCCCTGGGCTTTGATTGTTGGATCCAACTAAAAGGAAATCCTTGACAAAATCAGTGTTTTCTGTGCTTACCATGATACTTGCTTATTGGTCTAGACCTGATGATTTTTGTGTTTTGTATGTTGTGATTCAATCCATACTGAAGGCTGTTTAGTCTTTAATCCTCATCAGTAAATGCTTCCAGTTCTCTTTCAGCGAGCAAGGCTGTGTCATTTACATATCACAGGTTGTTAATTAGAAGAATATGGCATGAGGATCACAGTGTTGCTTACTTTACATTTTAAATGAAAAAGAAACAGATGGAATTAATTCTAAGAATATATTTTATTGTGTGAATGTACCATAATTTCTCAATCCATTCATTTGTGGTTGGACGTTTTGGCTTGTTTCCATGTTCTTGCATGCAGTAGCAATGATTTTGTAAATTATTACCTAACTAGGGAGAGACTGGAGATCATTATGCTGAGTGAACTAACTCAGTCTCACAAGGATAAATATTGTATAAAACCATTATTGTAGAGGGTGGAAGCAGAAGGATGAGAATATGCAGTGGGAGGGGGGATTTGATGGGGGCAGGGTGAGGGAAATTGAAAAAATTTGTTCTTAAAAACAATTTGAATTTTGTAAACTAGTAGAAAATTTAAAAATAATTGTACAAAAAATATTTTAAACAAGTTATTGTAAGCAAATCAATAAAAAATTTTAAGAAACCCCCACATTTTCTTTAACCCCAACTCATCAACAACTTACATTATGCAGATGATAACCTTGGTTGCTAAAACTGAGGAAGACCTTGAGTGTTTGCTACAGAAGGTCAAGGACTGTAGTCTTTAGTATTGATTGAAGCTTAACATCAGAAAGAAAAAGATTCTCACCACTGGGCCAATTGACAGAACCATGATAGATGGAGAAGAGATTGAGGTTGTTAAACAATTTCAGCTTCCTTTGCTCCACAATTTTATTTACATAAGTTCTGTTG